TATTAGCCCATGTTTCACCAACAATATGTAACGGTATCAGCGCTAAGCCAATTGCACCACGAAACCAATTAATTGAACTTTCTGTACATTTCGAATCACCAACTTTTAAATATGATGTTAAGCCACCTGTCTGTATACGTCTCCACAAACTTTGCGAATAGTGGAAGAAACAACCAGAAATTTTACAATTTGGAAATATATTACTCACTGCATTAAATGTTGCTTGTTCAAAATCGGATACAGCACGTTTTGGTTCAACAACAATATTATATTTATTTGCTTGTTCAATAATTGTTTTCAATATTTGTTCATATGTTTTACCACTTTTATCTGATGTTAATGCATAGATTGTTGGTATCATGTAACCGTTTCTATAACCATGAATAATATACAGTTGTGCAAATAATAATGGACGAGTTTTAAATGTACCATCCATATGCCACGTATCAACTTCTGATAAATATTCAATACCCCATTTGGAACCAAATACCAATAAACGTGAACCACTTTCAAGTACATCCTTGATAATAAAAACATTATCACGTAGATCAGTACCCCACTTTCCAGTTAACGTTAGATCTGACACTGATTTTGGTAATTTTGGATAATTTTTTAATCGTTCACGATAAAATGATGAATCAATTGATGAATATGACGGTAAAAATGATATGTCATTGTGTTTTAAACTACATTTAACTAACTCTTGTTTATGAATTTGGTATACAAAATGACCGTTAAAATTTAATTATAAAGCCATGTATCAATTATCAAATTATATTAATATTGATTAGTATACAGTTGATAGAAAAAAAATGAATAGTTATAAAATGAGTAGAATGATAGAAAATGTAAACGGGACGAAACGAGTGTGGGACGAAATGAGACGGGACGAAACGAGAGCTAATTAACAAATACGGGACGAAACGAGAGGATACCACGAAAAAATCATTTCAAACATGGATGTCAAATATAGGTGAGTAGGAAAAAGCTGTTCTAGTCAACAAAATAACTATAAACATCCATCAGTCAGTGAATGAGAAGTACGTCCGGATACAATGAGAGCATGCTGAATGACCACTTCGGATTCTGTCGGAATCTGCTCAGCTTATAAAGCATGTTTGGAAGCCTAAAATCCACACTTCTTGCTTAGTGGGACGACTATTCACGATGAAAAATCTTGTTTCAATTTGTACTTACGAGCCATTGTACGGAAAGAACGACCGATTTCCTTATGTGTTGTTCAATCGATGTTCGAACTTTTGGTTCAAATTCCTATGTGTGGTAGCGTCAACACATTTAGGAAGATTCCTAAAATTTTTTGACTAGATAATGCTTCCTTTTGGACTTACATCATTTTTCGTAAAAGCCCTAAAAACCGCTAAAAATAGCATGTGTCGAAAACTGCGTTTTACAGGCGTCATATTTCAGTCTACGCAGCAGAGCTAGAGTTCGTACTTGCAGCATATGCAGTATAGGTAAAATATTAATAATGGTCGTACTTTTGGGCTAAATTCTTCTGTGAAAAGTAAAAGTATACGAGTTTAATTGCACAGAACACGTGTGGCTCTACTCAAATGTATAGCTTTAATCTGAAAAAGGTAGTTCACTAGGGGTGCAGGCCGTCTCAAAGTTCAACAAAAGTGAAAATGGAGCATTTTAAAAATTCAATTTTTATATCCGAAGGCACTTGTTATATAAATCGACATAGCCAGTCGTATACTACACCACTTGGACTATCTGGCATCAACTTGCGTTTTGGAGCATATTCATACATGGCTTAGCTGAAGTGGTCGGAAGGCCCCCAGAAATGACGAAAAACGAACATCGCAAAATATAATCTTGTAGTATCTCAAATGAAACCTCAAGACTCGGAGAGTCCAAACATACATGTGTCGATGTCATTCGGCACATAAGCGAGCATATGTCAAGGAAAAGTGCTTATTTAAGTCCGAAAAAAAGATAAAAGGATAGGTAGTTTGCACTATGCAGGTTTTTCAATGTATTGTATCTCTATATCTAATATTTTCTAACATATTATTGTGTAAACTTCTATCTAAGCCTAGATGTGTACTACTAATTCAGATTCGGTATACCCTTCTACAACCTATTGAGTACTGTCATACAATGACTTCGATGCATCGTTGAAACTTTGTCTTTTTTAAGCCGTTAATAATATACGGATTTTCAATTTTTACTTCATTTTCACGTTGCCATGGATGAACAAGGATACCTTATTTCGATTTTTTATTAATGAAATTGATTATAGTCAAATAAACAATCCAGAATGTTTGAATGATGTAGAATATTTGGATTTGCACACTTCATCACCAGTGACCTATTCCAAATTATCAGCTATATTAACTACCTATTATCCAAAGGTTAGATCACTTGAAATCAGTGACTTTGAAATAGTTGATAATGATGATAATAATTCCAATGCTCTAATAACAAGAGAAAGAAAGTTACATTACGTCGAATTTGTGGATTTATCTTATTCAACTAATGTGGCATGGAAGAATTTTCATAAGATCCTAGGATTAATGCCAAATATAAATAGTTTATGTATTGGAATATCGAACTTAGGTATTAGAGCATCAGATTTCTCTGGTTCTCTAGCTGTGCTTTGTAATACACAAGCACTTCGCACCAAGATTACATGTTTACAATTAATTTTAGACTTTACAAAAGTAAATTTAAGTAAAATTTTCATTTATTTCGATAAATTAGAACATTTACGGTTACATTTCATCAAATATGATTACGATGACGATACAACAACAAAATTACAATATGATGAAAATACTTTAGACTCATTCTGCTTTGAACTTATGGAAAATAAAACATTATTATCAGTCGATATTATAATACTGAAATAATATTCACAGTGTACAATAAACTGATCAATTTTAGAAACCATAGTAAACTATCCTCAGCAATAATTGAAATTGTACATAATGTGTGTGTAACTGTTCGAAAATAGAATTATAAATGTTTCATTAAAAATGTATTTCAATTATGACTGAATGACACTGAGCTAAAATACGATGGTGGTAAACGTGTATTGATATGATAATGCACAAACGATAAATTAAGATGAAGTACGACAATCGTATACGGTTGATTACGACAAGTCAAATCTTTTTACCAAGATGAATGCTTTACGGTCGGAAACGGCAGTTTATGTATTACTCCGAAATACAATAACATACGTCATTTTACTTCAAATAATACGACAGTTTACAACCGTTCACCATAGTCATAAACATGAATCTGGGTAGAAAATGCAACATGAGATAACATATACGTCCATCTACACGATGATCATATACGGTGATAAACGGCTGTAAACCGTCGCATACTTGGGATTTTTTAAAATCGTCGCTTCTTGAGATTTGTTCACAGCATTTGTTAATGATATATTATGTGCGGTGAGTAACCTAGTTTTAAGACAAAAAAAACGTCTTCGGTCTAGTAGAGGTCTATGATTGCTGCAGGTTAAAAGATCTTATTAGCTGCTTTCAGTTGTCGAAGACAAACATAATAAAATTTAGCTGTTTTTGCTGAAGAGATTGCCAAAAAAAGTTTTGCGGGAAAATAATCAGCATGGTCGATTACAAATTAGAATTCCTCGAATCTGTGACCTTACAATAAGAAACACATTTTCATCTAGCTCTTTAATCTACCGAGCCACAAATCTCTACTCATTCTCTGTTGTTTTTCGTATTCTCTCTAAGGAATGTATCATAGAAAAAAAAGTTTCGGTAAACGTTCTGTTGTGTTCTCTGTATAGAATGAACAACTCTATTGTACAAATTTCGTGTACAGCTGAAGTGTACCGAATCAGCTAGAGTTGCCATACATCATTCAGAGAGACACATACGTTTCGACTCTACATGTTTATCTATCTTTTAGTATAACGACCGCGTACTTTCTTGCATGTTGATACGTAACTTTATCTGCCATTTGTCTTTTGAACTATTGAATTATTTGAATAGAAACAAAATACAGTCGTTTTCTCTATTGTGTATTTTTAACGCAGGCCTATTTCTTTGATCTCTTAAATAACGCATATATAGTAGCCGATAATGTAGGGTTCGGATAAAGAGTAAAATAAGAGTTGAAGAAATCTGGATGCTCGCTGTCACCAGTATGATCATCACGTTCTGCGCTGAAATCCAGGCTTTCTAACGTGACATCCAATCAGTTGCATAGTCATCATCATGGGCGCGATCAGAGCGAATACAGTCGCCACCTTCTCCGTCTTAATCGTCCATATCATATATGTTCGTGTTTACATACGTTTCGATAGCTTTCGGTCAACTTTTTCGTCGAACTGATACAGATGATTACCGATACTATGTAGATACGGTGATAGGAAGAATACCCCGCCTTTCGGCTACCTTGCGATATAGGGTGCTGTCCGGAGACAGTTTTCGTAAGCCCGATATCTTCCCTACAACTAATATTAGCTGTAGCTCTGGACAGAAGGCCAGCCTGACTCAGAGTTCTTTCGCTCAATCGCTTGAGCTCCCCGTACACACTGACTAACCACATACTAGCTACGAGGGCTGTATGTCACAACGTAGTCAGCATGTTATCGGACGGGTGATCCGAAGAAAACAACCGTTAATGACTTGCCCAGGATCATTCCGTGTCTGGTGGCGTCGAGGCTCGAACACAGTACCTTGGGGGTACGTGCCAATCAACTTAGCCACACAGCCATAGCGGTCTACAGATACAGTGATACTGTGGTTTTTAAACTAGATTTATTCCATTCATTCAAAAAAGCAACACTTTTTTAGATCAATATGTTTTCTGTTTTCTTTAGGCTTTTTCAGAATTTTGAGAATTTCTTGAAAACAACACAACTTTCTTCGCATCAGTACGTGCGGGATCATCTAATATCTTGTCGTACGAGAAATCTTTAAAAGTAGATCTTGTAGATCTACACCTAGTTTACCATTCAAACGTATCTCTTTCGCTTTATCTTTGCCACCGTACTTTTTGTCTTCTCCAAAATTAAACCAGACTCTTTTTCTTATTTTCTTCTCATTTTAGTATTTATTGAGAATTCGTATTCTCTCTTCCATCTCGATTACATGACCGACATCATATTTTTTGGGCTGCGAAGCACGTGTGAGAATTCTGTCTAAGATGTAATCGTATATACGTAACTTCATGTCAAGCGTATCAATCACATAATCTTTAAATGCAAATAAATCATCAAAAACTGCTGCACATTTGTAACCCAGTGGGTTTTCAGATATTTTTTCGTCTTTGCTACTGCATCTTTTAGACACATTTTTTGTTCGAATAAACTTCTGGCTTTTTTTCCAGTGTCATAACAAGATGTGAGCTCCGCCTGCTTAAGATCATCTTTATGAACAGTACACTAAACGCAAGGTGATTAGAACTAAATCCTGCTTGACCCATCACATAAACAAAGTTCATCATATCTCCACCCAATGGTTTAGATATGGGAATATCCTTCCCATTGTAATGCACAAGCTTTAATTGTTTTATTTGTTCCTTAAAACTGTCAGGAATAACGTTTCTTATAATTTCATTCGATTCATGTGTCACTCGAAAAACACAAGCAGTTTAACCGTTTGAGTGTTCAGGTCTCCTTCCACACAATTAACCCACATAGCTAAGATGTGCTTATTTCACACTAATGTTCCATCCATACTAATACGGAACGTTAACTTCTCGAGTTTTCTTAAGTTTTAGGTGCTAGGTTAAGTTTAGTGATTCGTACAGAATCAGATGTTATTGGTGGTTTAATTTTGAATGACTGTTTGTACAATGCAATAGTTACGACTCTCACTTTTTTACAGGTATGCACCGGTGCCAGTATTCATACCGATACCGAAAATACGTTTTTCGATTTGGACTTTTGAATTTTTCCATCTGATTGCTCCCATTCTGATTTTTTCCTTCTGTTCTGTACGTTTTTATAAAAAGCCAGTCAAGTAATCTAAATGGGCAATCACGTGTTCGCAAATACTCAGTCTCAGTTGAGTCTCAGTCACGTGGACCATCAGTCTCAGTCGTGAGAAAGAAACTAATCAGTCGTGATTGAGACTTGCCCATCTCTGCGATAGGTACTTTTAAAACTCGTTTAATGGCGGTTCTAATTAGCAAATTTGGTCGGCTTCATCTCTTCCCAAAAAGCCTAGATAGATTTGTAAAATTGTTTATGAACCTTTCGCCGCCGGGGTATAATATTAGATCCTTAATTAAAATAAACATTTAAGATTAAATATGAGAAAAAATTCTATCTCGCTCTGTTCATTCGTTTTCAGATGGTAGTTACAGAGTTCTCTAGAAACACAGTTTTTATAACTTTGAAAATCCGATGTTCGTGAATCTTGAAATAGGTGGAATTATAGACAGTTTGTGATGCTTGTTCTAATGGTATCGTTTAAAATCCAGTATAAATAGCCAAAAAAAGGGACTTTCTAACGTTTGTTCTTATAATTTTGAGCAACCAAAAACAACCTGGGTTCCATAAAACTCTTTTTTCAACACGAAGAAAAACTTCTTAAAGATTTTCAGCTTTATATTCGGAAAGAAGACACTTAACTTTGCTTTGTCACATTGAAATGATGTGTTAAGAGTCAAAAAGAACAAAAAGTTATGGAACGCACGTTGTTTTGAACCTCTGTTCTCATAAAAAAACGTAATAAGAAATATAGAACTGCTACAAACATGATTAATACAAATCACAGTGCTATTATTTTGATTTATTATTAAGGATCAGATTTGATTCAGTAAGAGAATACACAAGTAAAGAAACAGAAAATAAGGCAATTACGTACACGTCTTTTATGTATATGATCGATCATATGTTTTACACAATAGAACAAAGACGTGTATCTAATTGCCTTATTTTCTATTCTTGTACTTTTTTGTATTCTTATTGAATCAAATCTGACCCTCAATAATAACTCAAAATAATAGTACTGTGATTGGTATTAATCATGTTTGTAGCAGTTCTGTGTTTCTTATTACGTTTTTTCAACATTACTGCTTTACCAAGATCTTTTATTACTAATATTCGTTAGAAATACGACGAATCTATATTGTCCACTGTTCTTATAATTTTGAACAGTACTGTGAGTGTGCAGACATATTCTAATCGAGATATCATTTTTACATATTTCGATCACGATATAATTCGATCTCCCGATCAGGATATCAAAAACTTTTTGTTGGTTAATGTAATTTCTTAGTTTCACATGTTTTTCATCAAATCTAATTGGTTTGAACATGGTGTTGCCGCGCCAGGCAGTATGAGTATAAATGCCACAACGACTGAAATGATGATCTTTAAAAATGTTAGCATCACGAGTGTTATGCTTTTTAAAAGATACACCAAATTGTGATACACTTATAAAAAACATAAGGCAGTTTATCTGCACGAATCAATAGTTGCAAAATTTCACCTTAAACACAAGGTACGTGTATACACGTGATTTGTGCACATTTCTTTTCTGATGCGTAGATAATATATAAATATACGTATATATCGGCCTGTCCAAACGTGACGCTGTTAGGTTTTTCCTGCTCTATTTCTTGATTTTCTCAGCAACAGTATGTGATAGAAGGTTAGCTCTGGTGTCATTTTGTGTGGGCTGTCAGAAGAAGCTAGTTGCATCTAAGTAGATGTTTTTACATAGAAAATAAGCTATTTTAGCATGCATAAATGTGCTGTTTATCTTACAACGGTCTGAACTACAATTAACTTGGATTCTAAGTAGCTTTAAGCGACCTTATTTTGCAGAATGAAATGTGCTCTTTGAGATTAAATATGAGAAAAAATTCTATCTCATTCTTTTTCATTGGTTTTTACATGATAGTTGCAAAGTTCTCTAGAAACACAGTTTTTATAACTATCCGATGTTCGTGAACCTTGAAATAGGTGGAATTATAGACAGTTTATGATGCTTGTTCTAATGGTATCGTTTAAAATCGAGTATAAATAGCCAAAAAAAGGGACTTTCTATCATTTGTTCTTATAGTTTTGACCAGTCCAAAACTAAGTGGGTTCCGTAAAAGTCTTTTTCAACGTGAAGAAAAGCTTTTCAAAGATTTTCAGCTTTATATTCGGAAAAAAGACACTTAACTTTGGCTTGTCACATTGAAATGATGTGTTAAGAGTCAAAAAGAACAAAAAGTTATGGAATGCACGTTGATTCGAATTGCTGTTCTTATAATTTTGAGCAGTACTGTATAGTTTAGATTTGGACAAAATATTTTCTGTTAAGCATATGTTTATACTATTGCTCATAAGCAGACAATATTTTTAGCAAAGTATAAGACTTGCAGGAACTCTCGTTCGTATATTGAATTACTAAGCACGATTAATCTTTTTATCTATGTATGATTTTAGGATCCTTTCTCCAAGTTTTTTCAACAATAATCAATAAAGAGTTATTCTGATTAATGTAGTGAACGTTATTTTTCGTCCTCCGTACTGATACGGTAACAAGAAAAACTATTTTGTCATTTATTTTTCATATAACTCTAATATTCGAATAAAAATGAGTTCAGATACTCTAATGTGTTTTTATTGGGATAAACCGAATATCTATAAATCTATTGATGAATTATGGCTACAACTTTGCCCGTTCCCGTTTTTCCTTTAGCTACTAATGCAAGTGTTTCTTGTACTTGTTCCAATTTAATCGTTTGAGTAATTGGATGTAATTTACCTTGTTCAACCCATTCTGTTGCATGTTTCAATGCACCACCATAGAATGATTTAACTTTTGCTACATATTCTGGATTTATCGAATATTTTGCCATATCAGCATGTATCACACTAGCTTTACGTTTGGCGAGGGCTTTAGCTTCCTATACAATGAAAAAATTCAATTTAACTATGTAAAACCAAATAACGACTACACCTACTTTGCTGTCTTCATTAGCAAATTGACTACCCAGCACTATCCAGTGACCACCTTCAGCTACAGTTTGAATTGATTTATCAAAACTTGATTCCGAATATGTTGCATCATATACAATATCAGCTCCTTTGCCATTAGTCAATTTTAAAACTTCTTCAACAATATCTTGTTTAGCATGATTTAATACATGATCAGCTTTTAAAGTATCTTTAAGCAACTTGATTGCATCATCTTTGGAAGCTGATGTAATAACTTTAGCTCCCATTGCTTTAGAAACACCAACAATATAACTTCCAACGCCACCTGATCCGCTGGAAACAAAATCAGTGTTAATAAAAATAAATTTCGTGCGTTACACAATGTCGTACACTCAAACTGAAGTATAAAAAAGTTACTTTGGGTAGTTACACTTTGACTCCAAGCTTTTAAACGCTCAAAACAGCGGAGAAATCCTGATCGCACGAACAGACAAACATAAAAAGTTTTAGAAAAACATCGTGCATTTGTCACAGTACTTTAGGGCTAGAACTGTTAGCATAAGGTCACACAGAGTTGTACTATGTCTCATTGTAACCATAACAGACTGAGCCATAAATCTAGGCGTTTAAAAAATAGTTTAATTAACTACATACGTATCATAGGAAAAACTAGCGTTCGAATATTTTATTTTTCGAAGTTTCTAGAAAAATTTCTTACAGCAAATCTTTTTTTTGAACTTATTATATACCATTCCATAAAGTTTTCCAAGCAGAGTAAGAATATGTAGTTTTTAATTTTCAAGACTTTCTTTTCGTGTCGAAAAAGGAAAAACTCGAAAAACGACGATATTCGAAAAAGTTAGTTTTCGACTTGGGTTTTTAGTTTTTTAATGTTCAAACTATTTTTTTTCTTATTCAGCGTTAAAAGTTGAATTAAAAAATAATATTAAATCCATTTCGAAGATAAATCCCTGTTCACAATGGGCGTTCGAATGGACCATTGGAAAAGAAGGGTGAGTCATTTTGTAAACCTATCTAGTTTTTTGTGTCAAGAGATGAAATCGTCGTATCTATGGCATTGTATCCTCTCTGAGCCCATCTTTGAAAGTATAACTTTTTTTTTGTTACTGAGAAAGTTCATATTTTCTAAATCAGAACCGAAAAAGTCGTAATTCACGTAATTCATAATTTT